CCAGCTGTCCTGGGGACACTGGAGGTGTCTTTGGTGTCCCCAGCTGGGCTGGGAGCACCTGTCCAAGGAGTCCCTGGAGCAGCCTCAGTGGACAGAGTCAGTGAGAGCCAAATCCTACAGCAGGGGAAGTTCAGACCTCACCAAAATGCAGCAGAAAGAGCAACCTGGGAGAGTGCTGCTGGGGAGGAGCAGTCAGAGCACAGGTGAGCACAGCAGGAGCTCCCTCAGGGTTTCTGAAACCCACTGCTGAAGGGCACAAAGAAAGCAAACTCTGCCAGATCCATAAACCTGCCCAGCCCCTTGTCCTGGCTCCACAGCCCAACAGGCCCAGGGCTGCTGTTCCTGCTCTCCACATCTGGATTTTACCATCCAGGCCCCTGGAAAGGCTCTGACCTGGCCCAGTGTTAAACCAACCCCTGACAAATCCCAACCACCACCTGCCAGAGGCTCCAGTCCCACGACAATCAGTAAAAAGCTGACACCTGCCAGAGTTTCAAGTGACAACAAGGCATGGCTGAGTCCTGAAATGGATTTCTTCACCCACCAGTGACTCTCACACAGTTATTGCACGGGCAGAGCCATCACATTTCCCAGCAAAGATGATCAGAGTCTTCCCAGCATAAAAATCAACTTGTCAGGGACAACAGGAGAATCAGCTGGGCTGAAAATCAGTCCTTCCTCCCTGCTCTAGCTGTCCCATCTGCCAGCAGACAGCAAGGATGACAAACCCTTTGCTCTCAGGAGGGAAGTGAGCCAGGAGCCTCGTGCCACCTCTTCCCCAGGAGGGTCAGCCACAACCCCAGGACCTCCTGCTCAAAACAATCCAAACACAGCTCCAGCTCCATGCAAGAGGTTGGGATGAAAAGCATTTTATCACTTTAGAACACGAGAGCAGAGCTCCAGCTAAAGCACCCTCGAGCACCCCTGTAAATCCTGAGCTGACAGCTCAAATGCCAAAGCTCAGAGCTGAGCTCACACTTGTGCTGATTCCTGCTCTTCAAATAAATACAGGCAGTGATTGGATATTGTTCAGGGGTGGAAATATTTCTTCCCACCACACCATAATCACTCTGAAGAGCAAAATCTCCTCTTCCAGGGGTGCAGGTACAAATAAACAGATGGAGGTTGTGTATTCCTGTATATATCAGTATTTCTAAGAGCTTTTCCAAGGTCAGTCCTACCCTAGTCTTATTTCTCTCCAAATTAACTTGATTTTTATTTGGAAACATCCTTAAGCCCTAATTTCTAACTGGATTTTGGTGTGTGACAGACAAAATACTTATAAAACACTGGTCTTGAGTTTATATTGCTGGCAAATTTGGGTTGTGGGGTTTTTTGTTTGATTGTTTCAACCTCTCTTAATGTTTTTTGGTTTGGTTTTTTTTTTTTAATATTTGCTGAACTGCAGGAGTCCCCAAGGTCCTGCAAGGCATCAGCAGGTCTGGAGTAGCTGCTCCATGCTCCTTGTGCCTGGAGATGGAAGGAGAGCTGATCCAACCCCACACAGCCCCATCCCACAGAGTAGTGCCAGATGCAGCTCCCATGGCTGATAAAGACAATATCTCCAGGTTTTAGTGGTTTCCTTGTCACTTTTTCCACATTTTGCTCTAACTCCACCATTTCTTTCCTTGGTAGGTGAGCCCAGAGTTTCATTCCCTGCAGGAGGGAGTGCAGCTCTGGGGTCCCAGCACAGGAAGGACATGGAGCCAGGCTCAGTGGGAGGTGTCCCTGCCATGGCAGGGGTGGAACGAGATGGTTTTTAACATCCCTCCCAACCCAACCATTCCATGATTCCATGATTCCCATACCATGGGAATGCCACTCCATGTGCTCTGTGCACATAAATCCTCTGGCTTAGCAGCACCAGTGATCTGCCTTGCTGGATTTAGAGGACAAATCTGGGGGAAAAAAGTCTGGGATATTAAGAGGAGATGCCATGCTTTTCTTCTGGAAATACTTTTAAGGCTCCAGGCCGACCCTCAGCCAATTTAACAGCAGCAGTAAAAGCAGCTCAAGTCAGTGGTTAAACCTCAAAGGGATCCCTGAATTGTGCTTGACTTAATGAATCCAATAATCGATTCCTACAGCACAAATAAGGTGTGGGATGGATCAGCTAATAAGCATTCTCAGTTAATTGCTTTCTTCAAGTGACAATTTGTACAAATGATACCATCAAAGTAGTAATAATATCCCTATTGATTAAATTAATCTCGAAAAGACAACTCAAATAACTTTAATTAGCAATGCATGACACAAGCACAAAATACGCTGAAAACAACCTTGCAGCCCATCCCAGACTTTGAAAGCATGGCAGCAGCCATGGCACAGACTTTGGCATCTTCATTCCAGCAGATCCACACAATTTTATGGAGCATCTTTAGGGAATGTCTGTGACTAACCATGAAAAGCCATTAAGCCTCCCTGCAGAGCACAAGAGCACAGGCAGCCTCCCCACTTAGTCACACTCACTGAAACCCAGGGCCACAAACAGCTCCAAAAGAAATGAAAACTTTCCAGCAGAAGGAGCAGGGATGGGGAATGAAGGCTCTGTGCCAAAATTCCCACTTGGAGCTGCCAGAGACCCACAGCAGCAGCAGCACTTTCAAACCATGAGAGCTGGGCACCAGGTAGATGAAATCAGAGCAGAAACTCCTCCAGAACAGGAAAGGGTTAAAGAGCTGGCCCAAAGCTTGTTCAGAGAGAGCAGGAGCTGAGCTGGGTCAGAAGGGGACAGCACCCAGGGCACCCCAGGATGAGGGAATGGAATTGTGGAATCCCAGAGTGGCACACAGGAGCCCAGGGCCACCCCAGAATGGCTCTAACAGAGCTGGGTTTGGGCTTTTAGGGGGGTTTAAGAGGCTCCTGCAGGACTTTTCTCATTTTGCTCTCTGAACTCAGCAGCTGAAAGAAACACAAGGCTCAGATATTTCCCCACAACAGGCACAGTACAGTTCATTTTACAGCACTCACAGAATCATGAAATTCTTTAAGGTGGAAAGTTTCTCTGAGATCTTTGAGTTCAACTGTGCCCTCAGATCTGCCAAGGCCACCAGTGCCACCAGCACCATGTCTCCCAGTGCCACATCCCCACTGCTAAACCCCTCAGGGATGGGATTCCCCCACCCTGAAGCACATTAATAAATCAGGACTCTTGTACACGGCTTTGGCCCTTCCAGGTTAGTCCAACCCAACCTCCTCAATTCTTTATTTCCATTTGTTATTCAGATTCCTCAATTTAATTTCCCATAACAGGTTTGCCTGTGCTTTGCCTGAAACACTTCAAATTTTCCATGTCCTTCTTGTAACCTCAATGGATTTATTACTTTGTTTTTGTTCTTTGGGCAGTTCTGGCTTTAGACTTTTCAGATATTTTGGTGCCAAAACTGCTGCCAGGATTTGAGGTGAGGCTGCAGCAGTGCAGAGCAGAGAGGGACAATCATATCCATAAAACATATAAAAGTGCCCCAGAATTCTCAGAATGATGATGGAATTTGCACCATCATCAAAAAGAAACACTTTCTGGATTTACTTTCATCCAGGAATTACTGAAACGACCACGGAACCCCCACGTTACCTTTGAGACTCCAGATAGCCACTTATCAAGCAAAACAGCAAAACACCCACAAAGAGATTTTTGGAGCTCAAGAGTCTTTAAAATTCTACTTTCTGTGCAGTCTTACAAGAGAGATTTCTAAGTATTTTGGCTCTCAAATACACCAGTAATTTAAAAACCTTGACCAGAACACGCAGCATGAGTGTGAAAATGTATGGCTTGGAAACTCAAGCTTGGGAAAATCACTTGGGGAAGACAAGGGTGTTTTTTCCCCCACAAAGATGTTTATTGGCCTTTCTGAAATATTCAGCACATGAACAAGAAGAGGACAAATGCTCAGCACTTTCTCTGAGACATCCATCCAATTTTTCCAGTTAAGAAGCCAATCTTCAATGAAATCCCCCCAAACCAGGCAAATTAGCTGAAATTACTGTGAGAACAGCAGCTCCACAATGAGACCAAAAATCCCAAATCCAAACAAACCAGGAGAGGCATGAGAGGAGCTGGGTTTGGAGAGGGATCTCTGCAGCCCCACTGCAGGATGAGCAGTAATTACTTCACAAGGAGAGGAGCTCTGTGGCACATTGAAAGCCTTTAATTTCCACTCCCTTGTTTAAGTGAGATTATTGCTCCCCATAGCCAAAAAACAACAGATTTCCTAAGTTTCCTGTGCCTTGCCAGCAAAGCAAATATTCTCTGGTGAATCTCTGAGCTGAACAATAATTTTTCATTTTTACAACAGCACAATCAATGCAATTTTCCAGTTAGAAGTCTCCAGCCTCCCCCTATCAGCTCATTAATGCACAAGTGTACTCCAAACCATGCTTGGAAGAATCTCCACAGACTCTGCCATCCCAGGTTACTCTGAACATGGAATTCATCACTTATGAATCACTTCAGTGTGTGTAAACACTTGAATCACTAAGCCAGATCTAATACTGTACACAGTAATCAAGGGATGTTGTCAGGGGGGAGGCACTGAGGCAGCTCTGAAATCCTGCCTTGTAGAGTTTTACTGTTCAAAGCTGCTTTTGTGGCTGTGAACACGTTTTATTTGCAGATGCTAAATGCCTGGAGAATATTTGCAGACTTTGTGTCTTCTTGAGACACTCAGAGGAGCCCCAACACCTCCAAACACTGTTCACCCAACTGTGTTTTTCCTGCTATTAAAGATCCCTGTAACTTCCAACAACACAGTGACAAAACAGCCAGGTTCAAGCTGGAAATGCCATTTCATTCCAGCAGCTTTTTGCATCAGGTCACACAGATTGGAATCCAAGGAAAAAAATTAAACTCATCCCCAAAACCGAGTCATTTTTCTCCCGTAAAGTGAATTAAAATGCTGTGAATGCCAGCACCTCCCAGCTCCCCTGAAGGATCAACTCAGTGACACTCTGGGCTCCTGAGAACACTGTGGGGTGACATTTTGCTACCCAGTGGCACCAACCTTGATGCCCAGCTCGATGTTCTCCCCTCCGTACACGTCCATGCCGGGGTCCAGCAGCCCAATCTCCCCGAAGAACTTCCTGTTGACCACGAAGGAGCAGCCGATCATGGCCGGGGTCCTGCACGGAGAGAAGCACAGGGGTGACATTTAGGGACACTGCCCCATCCCTGCTGCCCCACAGGCTCATTGCTGCTCAGCTGCCAGGCTCAGCTGCCTCCCACCTCTGCTCATCCCAAAGATTTCATGGCTATGTGCCTTTGAGGACATTGTTTTACCACTGCAATAAATGGTCCAAAATCTGAGCTCATTTCAGACTGTACAGACTGGAGGAAGGTTTTCCTGGAGTTTTTATGGAGGAGCTCTCAGGCCTTGCTTTACTGGAAATACCTCATGGTGACTGTGGGCAAGGGCACAGCTCTGCCATAAATGAAGGAAAATAATAATGGCCTTTCCCTTTGTCTTAGGTTAGAAATGGGGTGTGAATTCTATTGCCATCTGTCAGAGCTGGGCAGTTCTCTGCTGTCCATGGGGCAGTTTTCTTTATCTCTCCCACAGCCAATCCTCCCTCCAGGAGATCTCTACTGTTCATGGCCAGTGAGTGTCCCTGCATGGCTGATCAAATTCCAGCATCCCATGGGGAGATGCTCCGGCCAGGGCAGGAGCCAAGCATTCCTACCTGGATACAATCTGAGCCTGGAACAGCACAGCAGCCTTTGTCCACTGCATTCCCAGAGGAGCAGCTTTCTCCTGCCCTGCATTCCCAGAGGGAGAGCAGGCCCATCCACAGCAGCCCTGGAGCTTCAGAGGAAAACTCCAGCCTTGTGCAGGATCCCTGCTCCAGCAGAAGCACAGCTGGCACTGCAGGAGGGCTGAGCCCCCATGGGATGGGACTGTGCCACCACCCTGACACACAGGGGGTCAGGTCTGATTCTGACTCTGGCAGTGGTTTTATTTCTTTTTTTGTACTATTGAATTTGTATTTTTAGTTTTCCTAGTAAAGAACTGTTATTCCTACTCCCATATCTTTTTCTGAGAGCCCCTTAATTTCAGAATAATTCAGAGGGAGGGGGTTTACATTTTCCATTTCAGGGGAGGCTCCTGCCTTCCTTAGCAGACACCTGTCTGTTCAAAACCAGACAGTTATGGAGGAGCTCTCAGGCTGTGCTTTACTGGAAATACCTTGTCTGTGGGCAAGGGCACAACTCTGCCATAAATGAAGGAAATACAAGAATGGCCTTTCCCTTCTCTTACTTCCAGCATGTCTGGAATGGAGTAGACTTTAGCATAGGTATTTTTAGGGTATTCAAGGCCAGAGCGTTTCCAGCTGGAATCACAAAGGAGCCATGGCCACCAGCAGCAAGCTCACTGCAAATTTGTAGATGAAAATCCTTTAAAAACTGTTGGGAGAAGCATGTGTAAAGTAATTTCTCAGTTCCCCCAGTATCAGCAGGGCTCTGGGTTAGAGATCAAGTTGCCACATCCATCCTGCACCTCGTGCCCTCCAGCTCAGAGCTCGCAGCTCATACTGCAGGGGAAGCCAGGGACAGGGCTGGGCAGGGAAATAACCCAGAAAACTGGGAGCATCAGTGGAATAGCATAAGGAGGGAGGAAAATCACAGTGCCAGGAGTTAATTTGTCATAACTGTGCAATTTTAAGGACATTATAGATGGTTGTGTTTACTAATGACCCTCATTACTCACAAACCCCTGGACCAGCTCTCCAGCTGCTCCAGCTGCCCTGAGATGAGGATGCAGTTCTGATTCACACACTCTGAGATCACATTTCAGGGGATTTTTTGAGTGCTTAGCCCTTCTGACCCTCTTCATAAAACTGCACTTTGCCCAGAGCCCAGCACTGCACAGTCCCACGTGGTTCTGCTCGTGCTGCTCGGGGACACTCTCAGCTGCTGCTGCTGCCGCCATGGTGTGTGCACAGTTTGCCCCTGGGACATTCCCTGTGCTGGAACAGAAATAGAAAAAGCATTCTCCCATTTGACTGCTGCTCTTTGAATCTGTGCTGTAAAGGAAAAACCCAGGGACTCACTCAGTCCAGCAGGGAGGTGCCAGTGAATTTTACAGTGAGGTGTTGGCCATGAAGACCCCCAACACCCCAACACAAGGTCCTGCCAGAGGTTGATTTTTTGGTAGCTCTAGGACTCCCCTGCCCACCCTGAGCCCCGAGCTCTGAACAGGGGGATGGGATGCCCATCATCACCTTTGTGAGCCCATGGAAATCCCACAGCCCTCAGGAATGCCTGCTCTCCAGAGGGAAGCTGCTCTCGAGGCAGGAATGGGGTGACAGGATCCTGTGTGGTAACAGCAGCCCCCAAATCCCGGCCAAAGCCCATTCCAGCCCTGTCCATGCCATGGAGCATGTCCAAGGCTGGACTGAGCAGGTTTGGCCTGCAGAGGTGGAGACAGCCCTGAATTCCGCCAGACCTGAGTCACAGACAGCACGGCCCAGCCCCCAGGCTGGCCACACCTCACACGGTGCCAAATCTGCCAGAGGAGCTCCTGGGGTGCCCAGGGTAGCTCAGGAATTCCAAGGATTTCACAACTCAGCTCCACCAACAGCCACCAAACTCATCCTCATGAAAAGTTCCTTGGATGAAAGCTTTTGCCCACTTTAATATTATTATTTATAGACATTGTAATATTTCTAATAGACAGTAGAAGAGCTGGATGCTGCTGCCATGTTAAATTAGTTCCAATTGGAATCCATCAGAGGGTTTTTCCAATAGATTTCTTCCCTGACAGCTGGCTCAGCCTTCCTTCCATGGAGCAGGATAATGTTTCATGGTTTGCTGCCACTCTGGTACTTAAGATTTCAATTCTCTTGCTTTATTTGTAGCAAGTTAACTGCCATTAACAGAAACAATTCCTTCTGAAATGATAACCACCTTACAGATGCCAAATCTAATAGTTCCATTATCCTAGATTACCTCCTGGAATTTAAGAGAAGGGAAAATTGCTCTGGTTTTATCCAGGGTATGAACAACCCAGTTCATCTCCTCCATTGGGAACAGGTGTGGAAACCTCTGACTTCTGTCAAAAACTGTTAGAGGCACTCAGAGAAGAGGTAAAAGCTAGAAAAAGAATCCAGGAGAAAGTTTCAGACAAAGGAAACTGCGTTTTGGACCCAATAATGTGGATCAGTGGGAACTGTGGTAAATGAGGTTTTGTGGGCGGGAAACAGCTCAGGAGCCTTGAACAGGAGCTGTACCCTGAGAGCTTCTTTCATTGTTATTTAGAAATCATGGGATGGGTTGGGTGGGAAGGGACCTTAAATTCCACCCAGTGCCACCCCTGCCATAGCAGGGACACCTTCCACTGTTCCAGGCTGCTCCAGCCCCAGTGTCCAGCCTGGCCTTGGGCACTGCCAGGGATCCAGGGGCAGCCCCAGCTGCTCGGGGCACCCTGTGCCAGGGCCTGCCCACCCTCCCAGGGAGGGATTTTTTTCCTGAGACTTCACAACATGAGTTCACTTTATAAAGCACAGAGCCATCAATCCTTCCCAAAATTCTCTTGGAAATAGCTTAACTGGGATTTAGCAACTTCACCTTTGTTTTCCCTCTCCCCACTCTGCTGCACGTCCTGTTCCAGCCCAGGAACCCAGGCAGCTCCCGAGGCACCGCTCCTGCTCCCTCCAGCAATCCAAATTAAGTGCTCCATTCTCCTCCGTAACAATGCCTCCACATTAAATAAATGAGGAATCAAGCAGCACTCAACAATTTAAATAAAAACACCATTTGATTTGGGAGTAAATCCCTCAAAAAGGTGGCCGCTGACAATAATGGATTGCTCATCCCCAACGAAATAATGGCCTGCAGACAAAGAGCTGATAAAGCCTCTTGTTCCTCTGCCCCTTAATTAAAAGCATTTACACAGCTTGTTTTTAAAAATCACCCAGCTCAGCCGAATGCATTTTTAGTTGTCTGATAGCTATTCTCCCTTTAATGAGAAAGTAAAAGCAGAATTTGGTAGGAAGGAAGAGCAGAGATGCTGAACAGAATTATTGGGTTTGTATCGAGAACTCCACAGTGTTACTTCCTTGCCATTCTTTTGCTTGGTGCTTCTATAGAACAAGTGAAGAAAGGTCAAGAAAAGCAGCTTTTATGAAATATCCTTCTTGTGGATCTCTAAATAAAGATGAAGGAGATACAAGGAAAAACGTTTATCCTGCTCTATTAAGTTACTTTAATGGTCTGCCTTTCTTTAGCTCATAGTTATCATCTAATGATTAAAAAGTCTCAAGGAGATTGCCCCTTCAATTCAATGAAATTAATTTTCTCCCACAATTGGATTTGGCTTCCAATTTTACACTAAAGAGCAGGTTATAAAATATGTAGAAAAAAGATATTAAAAAAATAATTAGTGCATTTACCATTGGCTGCAAGAGGCTGAGAACAGACTGGAAGAACTTCCAGGGTGTCCAATTCCTGTTAAGCTGCTGCTGGTTCTAATAAACTTGGATCATGGAGTTGCTCACCTTCCTCACCAAAAGGCAGCATTTGGGGCAGTCCTGCTCCTGCCTAGAAGGAATTTCTTTGTCCCTCTCCCAACCTTGCCATTCCTATTTCAACACAATGAAGTCACACACCTTACAATCATGGATGGAATCATGGAATGGGTTAAAACTCATCCAGTTCCACCCAGCAGGGACACCTTCCACCTACCCAGCTTGCTCCAAGCCCTGTCCAGCGTGGCCTTGGGCACTGCCAGGGATGGGAAATCCATGGAATAACCTGTGCCAGGGCCTGCCCACCCTCACAGGGAACAATTCCTATCCCATCTAACCCTGGGCAGTTTGACCCCGTTCTCCTTGTCCTGTCCCTCCAGTTCCTGGTGCAGGGTCCCTCTCTGCCTTCCCTGTGTCCCCTCCAGACCCTGCCAGGTGCTGGGAGGTCCCCAACCACCTCCTGTTCCCTAGGCTGAACAATCCCAAATTTCCCAGCCCGTCTCCATAGTGGAGGAGCTCCAGTCCCCTTAGCAATGTCACGGCCTTCTCTGGCCTTGTCCCCACAGCTCCAGGTCCTCCCCATGCTGGGGACACCGGAGCTGTGCTCCAGGGGGCTTCAGCTGGGGGCTCATGGCAACAATCCCATTTTCCACTTTAGG